AAGAAGATACAACTCCCCAAAGTAGGGTCCTTTTTCAAAGCCTACACTTAGCAGTGTTTTATACAAGAACTGACTCTGAGTTCTAGTTTCATGAAACCAACACACATCTTTTATATATTTTTATTCAGATGAGGCCAATGATAACTAAAGAAATCGTTCACATACTTAAATTAAGGAGAAACTACTGTGTACAAAGAGGTATCATATTACGGACTAGTGATCCGAGAAAAGATCATGCAGCCATCGGCCACTAGGAACTTCGTTTACTTTATTCTCCTGCGACACTATATGCTATTCCCTCTTCCGCTCTACCTTCATCTCTCTCTCTCTCTCATATATATCCCTGATATATATCCAGAACAAAAACATGTTCAAGCACTCCCTTTCTGCGTGGTAGTGTTCTGTGGCTAGCAAAAATCATTTCCTCGCTAAGCTCACGATTATGGCAAAATAGTTGCCGGAAACCGCAGACGACACTCGTCGCTAGTTCTGGCAAAACGGCCGATACAATTTTTTTTTCGCATTTCCCCGCTCGCTGTCAAGGACAAGGGGGTTCGCTTCAACCAGCAAAACATGGCCGCCGACGCCTGTTTACTGAGCAGTCATGCCTGTCGCCATCTCACTCGCTGGCGTCACGGGCGATAATATCAGGCACAAAGGGGCACACCAACCGGCAGCATTATCCCCAAATACTCGAGCCTCGCGTAAATACATAGAGTGTAAACGCTGTCGCCATGTTATCGTAGTAAGACCGCCCCCCCCCCCTCCCCCAACGGGGGACTGCAGTACGCGACGGCGTACTAACACAACGGCGACGATATCGACATCGCGGGCTCCGAATTTGCCCATAGTTCTACTCCACGGGCATTTCTCGAAACGCTTGATATTGTGTACGCCCGCCTGGAAGGATTTCAGGCGCGTAGTTAAGATAAGGCGGTTCTCCGCGGCAAAGCAATTTCACAAAAGCTTAAAAGCGGCGGCGACGCGTGTGCGGTGAACGCTTGTAGTTTTGGTGTAGACAGGGTGTGTGTGTTCTCGTTGTTGACACCAGCCGGCGATAAGGCACTGCAGGCGGTAGCTCAGTGCAGCAAGGGCTAATCCGAGTGACCATCAACGTAACCCCACCGCCAACCCCTCGCGAACCGGTCGCCGACATGGCTCAGGCTGTGTCATGAACCACGTGGTAGAAGCTCGGGTGCTTTCATATCAGCGCGTGGAGGGACGACAGTGCGATTCCGGAAAGTCTTTTTCGAAGGCCGCTGACCACAATTTTTTGTCTAGAGACTTTCCCTCTTTCTTCCTTTGACGTGGATCAAGCTTTGCCGACAGCCTCAGTTGTGACCTCTCTTTTCAAATGTACGCTTGCAGTGAGTGAGCTCCTCAGCCTCGGACTTGTCACTTGTGCACCCAGTAGTTCTTTCACTTGGCAATTATAGGCCATCAGTTGGGGTTTAATTTCTATTATTTATGTATACATTATGAAGACGTCCTGGAGCTCCGAACGAGTGTTTTGTGCAGATTACTTTTGCAAACACAAAAAGACTATACCAAAGCAGCGGAATTTTCGAAGTGTTGGCGAGTTGGACCTAAACTCGTTGAAGCAAATTCTTCCGCCTGACTGTTCCACCAAAGTGAGTGCGACGGACTACCTGTGCTACCATTGCTTCATGCACATCACTAAGGAGATCTCGATGCGAAGCTCAGAGCACTGCCCTGACATATTTGTGCCAGCTGAAGAAGCAATTGAAGATCTAAATCGCAGCATACTACCTACAGATGTGTCGCCGCTGAGACAACCAAGCGTCGTAAGAAGTCGGGACAGGCCTGCCTATGTCAAGAGAAAGCAGACAGAACTGGAGCAGGTTGCTGTCAAGAATATACGCTCAAGGCTACGTATTGCGTACGACAGGGACGCACCATCGGGGTCGTCCGAACCAACATGCTCCACATGCACTGAGTGGGTGGACAACTTTCGGCAGGCCTTTGAAACCGCCACCTCTCTCCGGGAACGTTGTCAACTGCTTACACTCCTGCCGTCAACACTGACGAAGAATGAGGTTCAAAAGATGATTCCACAGGCCTCAATGTACCTCATCAGTAAATCCCGAAAACTCAAGGAAAAGCATGGCGTGTGGTATGAGCCGGATCCTTACACGAGGTGCAAGGTGAGCCCTCAGAACCTGTCTGCTGCCCTAGAGTACTTCACGAAAGACGAGCTACAATGTTCGCGCCAAAGTCCCAACCAGAAGGACGTCATCTCTGTCATGCTCAACGGGGAGGAAACGTTCGTGCCAAAGCGCTTCATGACACGCTCAATACGAGAGGCCTTCCGTATATACAAAGAAAAGCATCCCGATTCCGGCGTTGGGCTAACGAAATTTTATTCGTTGCGCCCTAGATGGGTCCAATGTATTCCACACCAGGAAGTGTGCGTTTGTGTGCGCTGCGCCAATTATTATCTTTGTATTGCCGCTCTAGAGAACGTTACAGGCTCAACATTCAACACTGGTGAAATGAACTCGGCATTTCTGTGCGACCCAGCAACAGAACTGTGCCTTCAAGGAGACTGTGATCACTGCCCAAAAGGCCAGTTTCTTACACTCCAGGAACTTGATATCCCGGAGGATGAAGAGATTGTGCTTGCAACATGGGAGTCCGGCGACCTTGTGAAAAAAACTTTGGAACCTGAGACTTTCCTAAAAGTCATCCAAGTGACGGTTGGAAGTTGGGTACTTCACAACCATATCCGGCAAACGCAAGGTAAAGCGATCTACGATGAAAAACAGTGCATGCAACGCGGGAGCATTGTCTTTCATTTTGACTTTGCTGAAAACTGGACCATCGTGCTTCCTGACGAAGTGCAAGCATATCACTGGAAAAAAAAACAAGTTTTTATATTTACATGTGTAGTGACGACAAGAAAATCTACAAACAGCTTTGCCATCATCAGTGAGGACCTGTGTCACGACGCCGCTCACGCTTGCTTGGCTCTAGAAAAAGTGAAGGAGTGGGTTGAAGACAACGTTGCGGTATACTCGTACGTGACGTACGTAAGTGACGGCGCCGCCAGTCATTTCAAGAATCGCTACCAGCTTCACCAATTTGCAAAGGACGATTGCCCACAAGCCCAGTGGTTATTTTCTGCATCTGGACATGGGAAAAATGCATGTGACGGAGTTGGCGGACTCGTGAAGCACCAGGCCACGCTGAACAACCTGAGAGAACGTCCAGTAAGCGCAATTCAGACGGCCAGGACAATGGTGAGCGTTCTATCAAAGAAACTGAAAGGCGTGCATCTTGTATATCTGGACGAAAATGGGGTTGTTCGGTATCGTGAACAAAAAAAAGAAGAGTGGCTGACGGTGCGCGCCTTCCCTGGCATTCAGTCTTGGCACGCGTGGCGGCTCAGCAAGTCATCAACAGAAGGGACCTGTGACGTATATGTAGCACGGACAGTCGGATCTGCTTGGAAGCAACTTTACTAAATGGGTACAGCGAGGAAAACCTTAGCGTAAAGTGCCGAATTTGATTTCCCAAGGACTGCTCATTTTGAATGCAGGGACATCTTATTTATCACATTTTTCTTCACGGGGTATTTACCCTACTGTTTTTGTTGGTGTTTACTAATAATTTTTATCTGATCACTATAAAAAAATCCCAAAATGTTATCCTCGAGCAGGATAAAATATATCGGCTTGCCACGATTCATTTATACACCGAGAGCATCGAAGCTGCTCCAGTTAGGCACTATGGCATCCGTCACCTGAAATTGTTTGTAATCGTAAATACACAGCCAACCTAAATATCTTACTATTATATCTTTGTTTTTGTGTGTGGAAGTAAAGTTATTTATTTTACTCTAGATGTAAAATATACCGGAAGGTACAACTTCACACTGCATCATCTTTTCTCAAATCATTAGTCTCTAATATGATACCACTTTGTATGCTCAGCTTATGTAAAATGCTGTATATAGTTTCTCCTCCCTTTTACTGTGTGACCGATCGCTCTTTTTATCAATGACCTCATCTGAATAAATGTATATAAAAGATTTGTGCAAGTTTCATGAAACTGGAACTCAGAGTCACTTCTTGTATAGGACACTGCTAAGTGTAGGCTTTGAAAAAGGACCCTACTTTGGGGAGTTGTTTCTTCTTTCACAGTGCAATGATGCAACATGTTTTTAATAGAAATGAATGCCGAAATAGAGTATAACAGGGTACCCAAATTTTAAAAAAATCGAAGGTGGTGTTTTTTTTTTTTATTCGCATTGGAATTTTTCTTTGTTTGATTTTTTCCCATGTTTGCCTAAATATATTGTAACTATTGTGTCACTCAGATACCTTATTTATTTTTTCAATAATAGCCATATATTAGTAAAATAATGTCTGCAAGTTATGTAATAATGATTAAATTATTTCATGAGATACAGATTTCCAAAGTTTACCATTTGTCGTTCGAGCAGGAATGTTTGGCAATTTTTAGAAAACTAAATAAATTTTTAATAAATATTATTACTTTATATTACAAGCAAGTTGTACCCATAGTTTGTTTGTAAAAAGTTTTAAAATTCTCCTAATTTTATTGTTTTAATTATTCACTTTCAAACTTGCCCCCTCCATCAGTGCGCGTTATTGCAACTGTCCACCTCTCCCTGCCTTACGATTTTTCTTGTCTCCAAATTTTTTTTCTGGTCAAAACTAAGTGTGGATTCGTTTATACCAGACACTGGACAATGTCATATAAAAACATCAGTTGATTTAAAATTGTCGACCAGTCACCCTTTGGTCGATCTTATCTGAAATCACCCAGCTATCTATATTTACGGCCTGCAACCTACTGGACCCAAACACAAACAATACGACAAATGTTTTTAATGCGCTTATAAGTCATTACACATGAATTGGTGAACTTGATGAGTGTAACACGTTATGTTATACTTTTGTACTTCTAGCCGTTATTGTTTTCTTTTTGAGGAGGCCAAGAAATATCTCATCACAATGAAGGCCGTTACTATCGCTCTCGTCGTCGTGATGATTGCCGGTAAGACCCACTTTTTAAGAAGTTTTCTTATATATCTTGACGTTTACGGGCAGCACTCGCTAACCATCCTCTTTATAATATCAGGTCTTATCGGCACTTCCTGCGCGCAAGAAGACGATAGCCAGGTGGCTCATGTCAGAGTTCGTGAGTACCGACTTTTGTTTTGTCTCATTCGAATATTATTAGGAGCATCTTCAATGTTTCGAGAATTGGGGTCCAATATTGCTGGAATTATTATGAACGGGCAGAGGAACCGGGCTTTAAATACACCAGAAAGGCAACAGCAGGCTGAGTCATGGGGCCCTAAACTCGTCAAACACAAAGTTGGATGTCGAAAGTTCGCGGAGCGTGCCGATTGGACGTCGGCCGAAAAATCGCAAAGTCATCGTCGTGAAAGGCCAATTGGTGCGTTCCGTCAACTTCGGCCACAATTTTGCGATTGACAAGCTTAGAGGTCTTGATGTTCGAAACTCTTCTTTTTTTCTGTAGCTTGTTTTTTGTTTGTTTTTACTTTGCTTTTATTATAAACCGTGTTTACTTAAAACACCAATTGAAACATGCTTTGTTTACATAATCTAGCAACTTCGACTAGCTCACAGATAATAAATATCAGGTTATGTAAAAAAAACTATATTTTGTCGTTGTCTTTTTTTTAGAATTAGATAGACAATGAAAGACCTACAATATTGGCCGTCAGTGACCCATTAAAAATCGTGATCTGCTAACACGTAGTGCCGCATAATGCACTGAATTCTGGATTATACTTTTTTTTTCAGCTATAATCCGCAACCAGTGTCTAAAGTCTGCACGTAACGATTTTGATACAAAGTACACCTTGACAAGTGCCTGCTTTATTAGCTCGAAAGAAGCTTGCATCAAACATTAGTAATCAAGAACGTAATTTGTGGTTCCCTGTATCCGCCACGTCTCTTCATAATAAGATATCCATACTTTGTTTCAGTTTAAATGGGTACTAAGGTTATTTTTTTCTTCAACTACCCCGAATGACTATACTTTCGGAATCTCCGGCCTTTAGCATTTCCTTTATGCCATTTAATATCGCGAAATTCAAAATTGTTGTTGTGAAATCGGCAAGTGAAAAGGATGCCAAAACCGACATTCAAATACACCCGAACTTTTGCGTGCCGTGCCGTCAGTGAAAGGCATGCTTGCAGGTCTAGCGAGTAGTCTAAAATGGACTACGCCCAGCATTTGTTTCGTGCTCCTGCGCGGGTGCTAGAGCAAAGTTCCGAAGCATTCATTTGACACCACGAAACTGCTTATAATCAGTTGGGAACGAAGTCTACAGTCCAAAGGGTGAACCCCTGCCTTCCTCTGACGTTCCTTTTTCAAATTTGCCAGTAGAGACTTTCAGTTTGAAAAACACGGTGAGAACCAAAATAAAAAATTCAATAACCTCGCGAGAAAAAAAAAAAAATACTTGTGGCCCAATACTGGAGTGACTATTTCAGCGACGTCTGTTGGCGTGTTCAACGACGTTTTGGGCAGGACTATGCAAAAAACGGCGCTAAGTCCAGAGCGATAACAGAACACGTACAAAAACATAAAGAACACCAAGATGGTGCGCTTTTGGCGCTATCTGATTATTAGGCACTGAGTCTCCTGTGTATGATTCCCTCAGCGATGACAGAACACGTACAAAAACATAAAGAACACCAAGATGGTGCGCTTTTGGCGCTATCTGAATATTAGGCACTGAGTCTCCTGTGTATGATTCCCTCAGCGATGACAGAACACGTACAAAAACATAAAGAACACCAAGATGGTGCGCTTTTGGCGCTATCTGATTAGCCCCATTAGCTCCTAGCGTCGGCTGCGTTTGGTAAAACGAATTAAATTTAAAAAAAAAGAAACTAAATACCTGCATAGTCCGCATCACCTAAATTTACGCTTTGCAAATTTTTAAACATATAGGTCACAGATTATCGTCTGGAAGATGCGATACACGATACTATACGTACAGCACCGATATATCCGTGTAGTGGACAACACTCGAAATCCCGTATCCAGTGCACAAGTCGAATACCTTCAAGGTAAACGTAGAGTATGTGAACACTTTCCTGAATTGCCGCAGGTCGTGGGTTCGGCTGTCCACTCAACCAGGGGGCGTGTCACAACCACTGTAGAAGCATCAAGCGCCGGGGTGGTTACTGCTCGGGAATCATCAAGCAAACCTGCACCTGCTACCGGAAGTGAAGCTGCAACGTGACTTCCGCTATGAGTTTCCTCCTGCGTCCCCGCCATGCCCGGCGGGGTTCTGGTCAACTTTTTCTAGTCTGCGAATTCCCTTTCTGAATCGGTCGGCAATTTAAACGATGTTCGAATGCACCATGACATTGAAATATTGGTGACTCTATCCCAATAAACTGACGTAAACAGTTGTAAGCCTTGCCTGAATTTTTGTGCCCTCGATGGTTTGTGGACAATAATATATGCGTTTTCTTTTTTACATATTAATTATTTTTGAAGTTTTGTTTTGGGTGGAATGGTGACTGACAAGGAGGGGAGCGGCATACAGGCCACCAGACAAGACGACCGTCGCCCGGCCGATCGAGAAACCGGCCGTCTTCCCCAGAACCCATTCACAGCGCTTCGGAACTTAACTCAAGTCTTCGACGCGAGAACGATTTCCAAAAAAATATGTCGATTGAGAAGATGAGCAGTTTGTAATACGGTGGTTCTAATCCAATTATAGACAGAACGAAAGACCCCTTTTCAAACCGGCATAGAAATCTGTTGTTGTGAAATCCTGAAGTAATCATAAAAAAAGTAACGATTACTTTGTCCAGTAAGGGACAATTACTTTTCTTCTTAAATAATCAAGTAATGTAATTTATTACTTCTTAGCCAACAACATTTGTAATTGTCATCGATTACCTTTCTAGAGTAAAGTCTACAAGACTGGTTTCAGGCACGAGCGGAAGAAATGAAGCTCTGCTTACAATATTGCTTCGAGGCGAAGCGTGCTATTAAGAAAAGAACCGGAACATTTTCGACCTGGTGTCAACTGGGGTGACGGCAAGATTAAATTGTAACTTTGACGCCTTCATGTCTGTCAGTGGTTGGCACCGACAGTTTATGAAACACGTGGCGTTGCCTTCGGCGACTATACGCAATAGGTGTTTATCTGACTTATACCATGCAACTGACTTCAACGACGCGATTTGGAAACGGCGCCAGATTTCACGGATGAATAAATACTGCTTTAAAGGCCTTCTTTATTCTTTATTTCATGAAGCCAACAGAAAAGCAGATGGCGTTCGGTGAGGCAGCAACGCCGGTAAGGTTACTCGATCACCTGACTCAGCGTATACCACTCCGGATAGAGCAGTTTTAAGTTGCCCACAGAAACCACCGCAAAGAAACTATACCATACATCTTCGATGTAACGACGTAACTTGTGTCAGGGGTGAGCAGCAAGTGCACGAACAGAAGCCATGGCCGCCAACAAAAGATGTCGAGGCATAGGCCTATAAGGGTTGCCAGGTGTTTGAACTCCAACCCGCCAAACATCTACGAGATCTAGCCCAAAAATAGCCAAATGTCAATCCAGAAAAATAGCCCAAAAATAGCCCCAAACAAACTTATCATTTGAAACGTTTATTTTGAGCAGAAAAGACACATAATACATTTTTATCAATCAAATGCTCCAGAAATGGCGTCCCTTGCACGTTCGGCGAACTTCCTAAACGCTCGTACAAACGCATGACAACATACCTTCCACTGTATTGGGACGGGTGACCAGAATGACGTCACGGTAAACTATGCAGAATTCAGACAACCGCAAGGAATCGCGCCGTCACTTGCTGAGATGGAGGAATAACAGCGCATGCTTGTATTCGGAAATAAACAATTGCACAAGGCGCGCAAAAAAAAGACGAATTTGTTTGCTGTCGCAAACTTGTCAGGGTTAAGGGACTGAAGCACCAAATGTTCACGTAACTTACTCTAAAAATACATTCGAACCTATAAACCCAAGTGCTTTCAGGCATTTTGGTTCCAGCACAGGTCAGAAATAGCCCAATGCACAGGTCAGAAATAGCCCAATGCACAGATTAGAAATAGCCCAATACTAGCCAAATAGCCAACTACCATTTTTCCCGCCAACTGCAAATAAAACTAGCCCAATTTGGCTATTTATAGCCCAACCTGGCAACCCTGAGGCCTATCCGCACGACCAAGCAGGCAGATTGAACACGTTGACGGCGACGCGATCGTTGGATTACCACCTTGTTACACGAAAGCTACCGTAAACAAAATAGAATACCGCCTCAACCTGGCGAAGTAGACCCGATTAGGTAAACGGCTGAACATCGCTGCCAGAAACCTCCGTCCCTCGGTGTCGGCGTGTTGCGAGTGGCGCGCCAAAAGAAACAAATAGAACCGATTGCCATCCATAATAACCCTGACACTTAAAAACAATAAAGAAAAAGCTAGAAAAACAGAACAACGAGGTCGATTGACAAAAATAATCCCTGGAGAAGTGGAACAAAGGGGACAAAAAGCAAACACAAATCTCTAATTTCGGTGGCGCGCCAGTCACCTAGCTGTGTTTGGAAATTTGTGCTTGTCTTTTGTCCCATTGGTTCCCCTTCTCCAAGGGTTATTTTTGTCATTCTTGTCCAGCTCGCTTGCACCTTTGCAATTAATGGCATCATAATCAAGTCGATTGGCCGGCGGCGTCATATGAAATTTATTTGAGAGGCATCTGCTGGTAAATTCTGATCCTGGCACCGACTGTAGGATTTGTTTTTAAATGTCGCTGAAGTTAAATGGCATGTGGTTCATTGATTATATGTTTAAACGTTATGCCGTTTTCTTCGTAATTTTTTCCACTTTAAAAAGCATGTATAAATTAGAATATTACTCGGGCGAATTTTTTTTTTCAGTTTATAAAAACAAATAAGAAACCAAACCCGACGAAAAAGGACAATCGGCAAGCGCTGACTTCGAAAAACCGAGCAGCTCTGTCAGAACGGGGACCGAACAGCGGCTTGTTGAGACGACTGCGAAGAAGTGACCCCGTTTCGAGTCCAATATGACGGCTCGCGATTCTGCAAACTTCCGTTCGCGTCGGTGGTATAGTGGTTAGCATAGCTGCCTTCCAAGCAGTTGACCCGGGTTCGATTCCCGGCCGACGCAGTTTTTTTTTTTTCTTCCCCAATTTTTTTTGCGATTACGTCTTGGAACTTATGAGCGTATACACTCTCCGCATCTAACCTCCGGTCTGCATACTTGGTGAGCAAACATACAGGATATGTTGTTTTATCCAAAAAGAAGGCAATTCGACATATCTTATACCCGGTTATCCCCCGTAATATCGGTTGTTATTTTCTTGCGTCAGCTAGTGCATCACAGGCAGATAATTAGAGGTGGCACATCGGAGCCTATTTGGAAGATATTTCGGCTCAAGACGAGATGTACTAAATGCTGTGTTGAATAGACTTGAGATTAGAGTTAAATATCTGAATCCAAGGCACCGAAAAAAAAAAAAAAGAACCAAAGGATTATGAACTAGAGCGTAAAAATGAAAGGTTAAGACAGTACACACTCGCGGGACTGCGGTCAATGATTAATGTTCCATTTGAACACAAAGTCAGAACACGTATGGCGTTGCTGACATTTTCAAATGTAACGAAGATAATGTAGCAGGTGTGTTTAGAATTTTTGTTTCTTAGAAGGTTACGTATTACTATTTTGCACTGTCAGTGATGCATGGTAGAATGTATATAGAAACGTTAAATAAATCTATTATTAATATTATTATTGTTATTGTTATTATTATATTAATATTATTATTATTTTTTTATTATTATTATTAAAATAAAATAGATACCTATTTTTTACCATTAGCGTGCAGTCGCGATGCTAGATGAACCAGTCACGCTCGTGATAGGAAGTCGCACAATTTTTTTGCTACCACTCACCCAATGGCTAACCTCACTCAGAATAAATACTACAAGATCACTACGGCGTACTTATGTGTGGGAGAAACTGCTAACACGTGCCAAAGGCGCTGCTCAGTAAGATAAATCTTTCTTACAGCTAAACCTCGTGATTACTTATTTATATAAAATAAATTATTCGAAGCCGAAGTTCAAAAAAACAATTCTGCGTTTAAAGGTATCGCGCATCTATTTTTGTTGAAACCGGTAGCAAGGTTAGAAAGCTTTCACGCTAAGTTACCGAGTACGCCTGCAGCAACAAAGTAGCTGTAAACAACAAGTATGTTGACATGATGTTAAAGGGGCGCTGAAACACTTCTTGAAAAAAAGCTAGTTAGAGGTCAATTCTGGCGTATTCTTTTCCCGTGTATCTGAATATCACGTTCATTTTCCCCGAAGAAGTACCTAAACGCGAGAAAACACCAAAAACCTCCGACCAGTCGTCACGTCATACCAGGATCGGCCGCCAAGCGCGTGTCACTCGTTTGGGCAGCGGGTGTAATTGCAAGCGTGCCAGGTGTATTTATTCCCCCGCACTGACACCAATTGTGACGTCTCTTTCTGACATTTCTGAAGATAGCAAGAGTACGCGTGCATAACTTTGTTAGGCGCTGTAGATGCGCAAGAGCGGAGATTCCGAAAACGCCTAGTATGACGTCACGCTAAGGGAAGGAGGGGCTTCAGCGGCACTTTGAAAATTAATTTCTGCAGCCCCCCTGCACCAAATTGAAAAATAATCTCGATATTCGTGATCCTAAAGGCCAAATGAACACGATTTAGGTGTTTTTCCTCAAATACAGAACCGCTTCAGTTTCCCTTTAAAACACCTGAGACTGGGCGTGAGAAAACGCAGCGTTAGGGACTGAAAACTAAAAAAAAAAAAAACGAACCAGCAAACGCGGGGCTTGAGCGTCAACCGTCGAACGTTGACGCGGCACTCGTGTCCAGTCCGTGTTTTCCTCTTTGGGTGTCGATTTGCTCTCCAGGGGGCGTCGTTAGACGAGAAAGCCTCCACAGAAGGAGTCCGCACCAGTGACCTCATTCTCCGAACAGCGATCACGTGATGACACTATTTATAACACTCTTATAAGTTTTCGTCCTCTATCGGTATTTGCGTCTGCGTCGGTGGTATAGTGGTTAGCATAGCTGCCTTCCAAGCAGTTGACCCGGGTTCGATTCCCGGCCGACGCATCTTTTCTTTTTTTTTATTCTTATTTTGTCCCTGATTAGTTTGACTTATGATACCGAACCCGAAAGACATACGAGCGTCGTGCAGATACACTTTTCGTTCTGCTTGGGTGACTTTATTGAATTGTGTACCAT